GGTGTAACTATGCCTGATAAATTTCTCGTCTTCTCGATATTTTTCTTCTAATACTACCTACCACATCTTGAAATCTTAAATATCGACTAAGGATTACACCGTGCTCACGACAAAACAAATACGCCTAATGTCTCGAGATGCATGTGGCCCTAGGTTCTGGTTTGTCATCTCTTCTTGCTATCTTGCCTTATGTTCACATTAATATACAAAAAATGCAGTTTATTTTCTACTTTTTTCTCTCCTCTTCACCATTAGTCACCACGCATTAAGGAATTTATACACAAAATTTATTTTTCCCCACCCGATATGGAATGTTTATCAGTCAGGCAGTAAAGTTACACTAAGTCATTTAAATGATTAGGACATGAAAAGCAAATTAATCATAAGCAGGCCTAATGACCACTTTAATGGAGTGACTATTGTTATCGCTTTTTGTTACACATGATGAGCCTATATAAGTGCATAGCGTGTCTCTTGGTCCAACTTAAGAATTTGCCGGCGATGAAGTAGACAATAGCTTGTTTAAGGGGCAACTTTGGTCTGATAAAAACAAACGGTATTCGATCACAAACTGCTAATTAACTTAGTCATTCATTGGGAGTGAGAGGCTAGCCACTCTATGAATCCTTAACTTTTAGGTTAAAGTCAATGCAAAATTAGGACACCCGTCTATTTTAGATAAGGATTATTTCTGCATATCTCAATGAAATAGCATGATAAATCAATGTCTACGAATTTAATCGACTAATTATGTGCCATAGTTCCGAATCGAAATTGAGCTAAAGCCACGATACCATCAATACTAGGCTTACATTTGCATCCTTTCCTGGGAGTACTCTTCTGGTTTTTACCAAAAGGCTAGTACAAAATTGCAGTGACACTTTATGAATGACTAACAGGCATTGTAACTAAGTTGATGAGCCTAATAAACTTGGTTTAAAAGACATAGTTTGTCCTTTACTAGAATGCTTGTATGGAGAAATAAGAGGAGCAAACCCAACGAGTTATAAGCAAAAATGTATAAGATAAGGGAGAGAAAACAAACATAAAACTAAGTATTGAAATTAAGAGGGCAACAACTGTGGCTAGGTAAATGAAGTATATTAATAACATGTAAGGACACATAAAAACTATTCAAGCAGCTTGTAAGAAGGTAGAGATGGAATGAGCTTCTGATCCATTCCATTTAGGCATAAATAGTTATTTAAATTTGAAAAGAAGCATAAAACACAATATACCTTGTTAGAGAGGAAGATATCTAAAGAAAATAAAGGGCCGAAAGAAAACGGCCTAAAACGAAAAAATATATAAAATGGTCTTTAAGAAAGCGTCTACTTACACAATAAGTAACGCGTTATACTATCCGACTGTTCATCTTCATCTTTGCGCGTTCTTTTTTCGAGGTTAATCGTCCCTCCACCTCTTCGCGATGAGCAGTACGAGCAGCAGTTGTCTCTTCCGACGCCTCCTGAATTCGCCCGCCGAGGCTGCCACTTGTAGAAGCATCAAAGCTCGCGGCAATAGTAGGATCCCTTGCGATAACATCTGCGACACTCCGTGCGCTCTGCAAGCCAGATGCCAACTTAGCCCGATATAGACTGGCCTGACGAACGGCGGCAGGATTGGCGGTGAGCTGAATCGGCAGTAGGCCTAAACTGTTGGTCAGGACGGTGGTAAGAAAGCGTGAACTGTTTGATGCAATCGTCGAATGCGGCAGACCGACAATAGAGACAGCAGTTGAAGCAGTAGAGGGTGTATTCAAAGATGAATTGCTTCCCGCCGAGACAAATGACCCTTGAAGAGAGCTGCTGGAGGTCACAGAATGTGCATCGCCAACTGCGGCGATTGGAGCTACGCCGGACACAGGAAGTAAGGCACTGTTGGCTGTTCCACGGGCAAGAGTGCCCAAAGAGGCAGAGGCTTGTCTAATCTGAGGCGCTCCCGTCGCCGCCATCGCTGGGGTTGGTGTCGATTGCATACCGGAGGACAACAAGGATTGGTATCTCGTGGAGGCTGACTCACGTAGCTCCAGAACTATCAGGAGAGCAGCCAAATGAATTCGCTCTCCGTAGGGGTTATTCAGTGGAACAGAACGAATACCGGGCCGCAGTCCAATCACAGGCAGTGTGAGGTGGGCGGCTATGTCGGTAGCGGAAGACGAGCTGGCATCATCAGTAAGAGGCACTAGGCTACCCTGTGGAACGTGTCCTGCAACCACGTTTAGACTGATCGGTGAGGCACTGGCTGCAGTAGATGTGGCGGTGCTGCTGCTCGACGATGGGCTGGAGCCGGAGGTAAGAGCAAAACGAAGCAGACAAGAGGCCGGCTTTGGCACTATGAAGTGCATTTTTATATCGACGATTGGAGTCATCGTGAAGGCACCTGCAGACACGGTTCATAATAAAAAGGAAAGTGGACATTTTAGAAAAGAAATAAACTATGACAGAAATCACAAGCGCTTGGGTTTATAAAATGATAGACCACAAGAATAAATTAAGAACCCGCGGTAAATTAGATGAAAATAATTGTTACGTAAGCCAACAGTGGG